AGTCACAAAAGCAGCTAGATTGTTAGTCAGCAAAGGAAATTGTCTATGGAGATTGTAGAGAAAGTGAATGATTTTTTTTGCATCTATCTGCACTACAAAAGATACAGGAGAGTTACTTAAGTGAAAGAACTTAATACAAGTGAAGTCACAAAAATATATATTCTGTTGACAAAAACAACCCTATGAAATAATAGTCTTCCTGAAAAAATGCTTTTCATCTTCCTTCAGTTCTTGAAGCTGCCCCTCATAGCTTAATTTACATAAGATAACTTCCCATGGCGTATTACTTTAGTTAATATACTGTATGTTAACATACAGGATACCTCTTAACATAAATTACTATTTCTGAACTAGCTTTAAGACATGTGGATTTCAACTTCCAGAATTTCCTAGTCAGCATGGCTCACTGGGGAATTCTGGGAATTGAAGTCCACACATTTTAAAGATGCAAAGTTTCAGGAGCATTGATCTATATTATTTACATTCATAATACAAGCTGTTAACAAGCCTGGTATCCCTATACTGGCCCATTTTGACCCCCCTCCCCAATGAAGAACTTCATTATATTTTATTCTGTTATTTTATTTTATTTCATTTTAGATTATATTTCTGCCTTAATATTTATTACCTACTTTTTCTTAAGTGAAGAACTTTGCAATTGTCTCCATTACATATTATTCTGCTATTTTCAGCTTATTTCATTTTCAATTGTACTTCTGTCTTCCCATATATTACCTACTGAAAGGGATAGCTTATCTGTAAAGTTCACATTTTATCTATATCACCGATGAAAGTAACAAAGGCCAGGACTCAACTCTACAGCAGTCCCCTTGAGAACTTGTTCTGGTTTAATTAGGAGCCCCAGTGAGGGTTTTCAGACTATGGTTTTTGAGGGAGCTGCAAATCCATTGAAAATTGAAACCAGCCCTGGTAAACAAATGAGCCCCACCACCACCCAGGCCATTACAACACAAAACAACAACAGATCCACAGCCAGCACCAATCAGCACCAATCTACCAATCATGATACAGCCACATATCCAATCAATCCACTTACTGAAACAACGCCAGCATTCCACATCCCCCCACCAAGATTTATAGAAAGACGGCAGCTCCGGTCACGCTTTAAGTCAAAAACACCAGCCTGAGGATGGCGAGTGAGACCTCGCCAAAACAAGACAATCTCAATCTTACACGGGAAAAGACCTGAATACAACAAGACCAGCATACCTACACCTGTGATATATATATGTTTTTGTGGATTTTCATGGGTAGAGGTATGCAGGTCTTGGGGTCTTTTCCTGTGTAAGATTGACAATATCTTGGCGACGTTTCGACAAGGTCACACTCGTCATCTTCAGGTTGGTGCCTTTGGCTTCGTGCTTGTGCGAGCAAAGCGTGATCGGAGCTGGTATTTTTCTATAAATATAGGTGGGTGGGTGGGTGGGTGTGGAATGTTGGCTTTGTCACTTTAAATGGATTGGTTGGCTGTGTTGTCACATCTTGATTGGTTGATGGAATTGATGTTTGGTGATGGTGATTGGTGATGGTGTCCTGTGTTGTTCTGGGTCCTGTGTCGTTTTTTGTGGCTGGGACTCGTTTATTGATTAGGGCTAGTTTCCAGATGTCTGGTAGGCGGGAAGTATCATCACGTTTATTCATGTTGTGGGAATGTTTCTCTATTTCAATAGCTTCCATAATTATTCTCTTGTTGAAGTGTTCAGTTCTGGAGAGTAACTTGGTTCTACAAAAACAAACAAACAAACAAACAAA